TGATGTGATTTATTGCAAACAATATAAACTCCCAATTTTGGTACAATGAACCAAAATTAGGGCTTTGAATCAATATTCATGTTTTGAAACCTTGATAATATTAGGGGTTCACGAATCCGAATTAGGTTTTTAAAAGAATCTACATGAGAAATAATATTATGAATATTAAAGGTCACACCCTCAGTGAGGTCATAAGCCCCCATATCTTTTCTCACTACTTCCAACTATGTTTTTTTGGGCCTACCCCTTGCCATTTTTTAGCTTTATAGGTGTTATAATAGGTATACGCTATACATGGGCAGCCCCCCTAAGTCCACTCTCTCTCATCTTGTCATGTATTTGTACTATACCTAAATTCTCCTTAATATATTAATTTTGAATTCTATCCCTCCTTGTCTTGCCACGCATCCATCTCAACTACACTCATTCTATGGGTATGTTATTTCTTGATCGCCCAACATTCTACCTCATAAATCAAAATTGGTCTTAGAATTGTTCTATAGAGCTTGCCATTTAGCTTCATTAGCATGCACGATTACATAAAACTTCGGTTGCATAATTTCACTCCACCCACCCAGCTCTAATTCTATGTGCGACATCTTCCTCATCTCTCCATTTTCTTAAAGTATTAACCCAAGATATCGAAAGTGCGTTTTTTTTTTTTTGGTATTTCTTCGCCGTCAATTTTAATTACTCTAGCATCTCTGAGGCAATTATTACTAAACTTACATTCCATAAACTCTATTGTCCACGAACAACACGTACCACTTTACTTCATCTTGTAGTTGCCTAGTTAACACAACTAAGACAAAGAAGTATGGGCTCAATGGTGATCTCTGATGTAAACCTCTTATTACTGAAAACTCACTCGTCTCTGCACTAGTCGTTCATACACTAGCTATGCTCCCTCAGACATATATCTCATAAAGTCTTTGTAGTGTCTAGCGACATATTTCTTCTCCAATACCCCCCAAATCATTGAGATACTCTATTATAAGCTTTCTCTATATCAATAAAGACTATATGGAGGTATTTTCTCTTCGCTCTAAACTTCTCCATTAGTTGCTTAAGTAGGAAAATAGTATTAGTTGTTGACCTCTTTGGTATAAAACCAAGTTGATTTTTTTATATAATCGTTTTATACCTTAGTCGTTGCTCAATCTCTCTCTCGCACAGCTTCATAGTGTTGCTAATAAGTTTGATCCATTGATAGTTCGCACAATTTTGTATCTCTTATGTTTTTATAAATAGGTACCATAATAGTTTTTTCTCCATTTATCTGATATTTTCCATGAATGTGGAATTTTGAGATAGTTGCTCACTCTATAATCTCTCTAAAATTTCAAGCTCTCTCTCTAAAACTTAAAATTTGAGATAGTTTCTTTTTCTAAATTTTGAAATAATTTCTCTATCTAAAATTTGATATAATTTATCTGTAAAATTTTAATGTACTTTGTCTCTAAAACTTAAAATTTGATATAGTTTCTCTCTCTAAAAATTTCGAAATAGTAGGTAGTTTATCTCTCTAAAATTCGATAGTGTCTATTGCTAAGATTTTAATATAGATTCTCTCTTTAAAATTTAAAATTTGAAATAGTTTCTCTCTCTAAAAAATTTGAGATATTTATCTCTAAATTTTTTTCATGTAGTTTCTCTATCTAAAATTTTAATATACTTTCTCTATCTAAAACTTAAGATTTGAGATAGTTTCGAGATAGTTTGTAAAAAATTTTGAGTACTTTCTATCTCTACATATTTTCAGGTACTTTATCTAAAATTTGAGATATTTCTTCTCTCATAAATTTTAAGATGCTCTTTATCTAAAAATTTGAGCTCCCTTTGAAAGTTTTCAAGTACTTTATCTCTCTAAAATCTAATATAGTTTATTTCTAAAATTTTAATATGCTTTCTTTCTGTAACACTTAAATTGAGATAATTTCTCTCTCTAAAATTTTTTGAGACAGTTATCTCTCTAAAAATTTTTAGGTACTTTTACTATCTAAAATTGATGTAGTTTCTTTCTCTAAAATTTTAGTATACTTTCTCTATCTAAAACTTAAAATTTAAAATAGTTTCTCTACCTAAAATTTTTGAGATAGTTTCTGTCTTTAAAAATTTTCAAGTACTTTCTCTCTTTAAAAATTTTCAAGTACTTTCTCTCTCTAAAATTTGATATAGTTACTCGCTCTAAAATTTTAAGATGCGTTCTCTCTCTAAAACTTAAAATTTGAGATAGTTTTTTTCTAAAATTTTGAGATAGTTTTGCTCCCTAACATTTTATATATTTTTTATCTCTAAAATTTTAATATACTTTATCTCCCTCAAGCTTAAAATTTGATATAGTTGATCTCTAAAATTTTGATATAGCTTCTCTTTAAAAATTTCAAGTATTTTTTCAATGAGTAATGATTCTATAGGACCTTCCTCCACCCATGTGTGTAGGACTTTAAAGGATCACCATTAAAGTCGGCACGTATCTCTAAAAAAGTTATCACATGGGTGTGAGACTTGATTTTTTTATAGATTTGTGCCAAATTTAATGGTGATCATTTGAGGTCCTACACATATGAGTGGGGGCGGGTCCTATAGGATCTTTTTCTTTTTCAATTTAGAATTAATACAATTTATCTCTTTAAAATTTTAAGATACCTTTTCTCTCTAAGATTTAAAATTTGAGATAATTTCTCTCTCTAAAAATTTTGTGATAGTTTTCATCTTTAAAAATTATAAGATAGTTTATCTCTCTAGAATTTGATATAACTTCTATCATTAAAGTTTTAATAAACTTTCTCTTTTTAAAACTTAAAATTTGAGATAATTTCCCTCACTAAAAGTTTGAGATATTTTTCGGTCTAAAATTTTTCAGGTAGTTTTTCTCTTTAAAATTTTAAGATATTTTCTCTATCTAAAGCTTAAGATTTGAGATAATCTCTCTGGATAAAAATTTTGCGATAGTTTCTATCTCTAAAAATTTTCAGGTACTTTATCTAATGAGAAAGGTATTTATACTTCCCCTACATCATAGAAGATCTATGCTTCCCCTACCATCCAACCATCCAATTTTGATCAAGAGAACCACTCACCGTTTGATCTTAGATCCGACGTCTTTATTTTTAGTTTTTTTTATACAAATTGAATGAAATTTCGTACATGTCATCTTCTTATTGGGGCGTACCTATAAAAAATATTAAAAATAATTTCTCGATGAAATATAATGATCAAAATACCGCTTGAAACTTTCAGGGGTATTTTGGTTATTTTATTTTATTGGAAATCAATTTTTTTTATTTTTTGCTAGTGCGAGTCTATAGAGGATTGGATGTTCAAAATTTGGTGTCAAAATAGTTTATAGAAAAAAAATTAAAAATAAAGAAGTGTAGAGACGTGACATTGTGATTGGGGCACTCTTAACCCCCCATTCAAAATGGAGGGTTGGATAAAGGGAACTGTATAAGTTTTATGCTGCAGAAGCAGCATAGAAAACATGCCCTTCTCTAAAATTTGATATAGTTTCAGTTTCTAAAATTTTAAGATGCTATCTCTCTTTAAAAACTTTAAATTGGATATAGTTTCTCTATAAAAATTTGATATACTCTCTCTCTAAAAATTTTCATCTTCTTTCTATCTAAAAAACTTGATATAGTGTCTCTGTAAAATTTTAATATGCTTTCTCTATCTAAAATTTAAAATTTGAGATAATTGCTTCTCTAAAAATTTTGAGATAATTTATCTCTCTAAAATTTTTTAAGTACTTTCTTTTTCTAAAATTCGATAAAATTTCTCTCTAAAATTTTAATATACTCACTCTCTAAAATTTGCGATAATTTCTCTCTCAAAAATTTGTGAGAGAGTTTCTCTTTAAAATTTCCAAGTAGTTTTTATCTTTTTTGTTTTTGTCGCCTACCAAACGAGCCTGATATAATTTTCACATGAAAATGTTTTGATGCAAATACCAAACGTGCCCTCAGTTTCGGGTCAAGGAGCCGTCGTATATTTTCACATGAAAATGTTTTCCTAAAAACATTTACGCACGAACCAAACGTGCCATAAATGAATAGTAAGTCATCCATGTACCCTCCCCTCCCCCCCAGACCTTATATGATGCTCAGAGTTGGGCTAAGTAAAAAATACACCTGCCTAAGACTTAAAGAGTTGGGTCAAGGGTAAAATAGTCAAAATGATAATGTCGAGTCACAGTAAATCATCATTGTTAATTATTGGAAATAATATGAGATGAAGAATAATATAAAATACACGCAACAAGCAAGGGTTATATAAAAATGTCTTCCAAATTAATAAAAACTTTTTTAATTTGACATTCCTATTAAAAAAATAAAAATAAGCAGAAGAATGAGAGAATATGAGCTGTAAAATAAGATTCACAAGACCAAAAATAATCTTTAAAATGGAAACCATTAAAGTTAATGAATAATTTCAAAGAAATGACATCCATATTTCTAAATAGTCTATCACAAGGCTTTCCTAATTTTCCTTTTTAATTTCTTTCAACATGGAACTTATTGACTTTCTCATTTGTGCGAAGGCGTAAGAGCAAGGCCAGCATCTAATTACACTAGAGCAAGGCCAACATCTAATTACACTACTAACATCCTTTATTTAATTGAAGGTGTCATCTTTGCAAAGATTTGTAACATTCACGCTACTTTACAAATACTAAAATAACAGAAAGAACAACAAAACAAATCCACTTTTTTCAACAATTTTGCTTTATATGTGAACATATGCCACATGTTCATCGCTAGCCTGTGCTACACATTCCATACATCTTCGTAAAGGTATATGCTAATGTTTGGACACCCACCTATCAATATGTGGTCTCCATCGATAAAGAATTGTCTTTGAAATTGAAAATTTGACAATCCAAATGCCGTAGTACCAAAAACATGACCCTATTTAAACCATTCATCAAGCATTGAAATGGTCATGTGTAACAAAAGTCAAGTCATGCCATAAAATCATAAAAGCAGTCAAAACGCTCGTTCTCTAGATGACGTCCATGTATTTCAGGACACGACAAAATAAAATTTTTGTCACCAATAGTCACAACCAACCTCCTATAATGGAAAACTAGAAGAAGAAAAGAAACTCAGCCTCCGAGGCATTCGAAGATTTTTGTTTCTCGATTCTTTGTCGGAAAAACAATCTGTATGCATTATCATATGCACTAGGTAAATATACATTGCCACTAACCATGACTGAAATAACATGCATGTCGTGGGCATCATTTTGATTGGCATATCATTCCTCTGTAATGATCTATCATTCACATATAAAGAAGTAAGGAGAAGAAGAAGATACGACATTATCGAAAATCAATTTGCCTTGTTATACTCCTCTATAGTCTGTTTCATGCCATCCAGCCGTCCTATAATCATGCTGAGCTTCTTGCAACACATCTCATTTGAAATTCTGGAATTGTAATCGCATTTCTCGAATGGCCGATAATCACATGCACTTTTAATTTCCTGCCGCAACATCATCTGAATCTCCTGCATTCACAATGTAAAAGAGAGCCCATTAGATATGTACGATAAAAATAATTAAAGCATTTTCAGCAACATCATGAAATATTTCTTGGAAAAATATATATTCTTACAGGGTTATCTGACATTAAACAACCCTTCGAATACAAGTGTTAATGTCAAAATGGCTTGTGAAGGGTCGACCCACTGAATATGTGGTTGCTTTCTACTAGAAAGTTGCTTTATATGGGTTGTGCTTGGTCATTAAGTAAAGGCACATGTCAAATTATTTCTAAAAGATAAAGTAAACTTTTGTCCTCTTTATAAAGACATAGCAGAAACTTTTACTAAAGAACAAGAACATATGTACTAATATTGTTTGAAATACTTCTCTACTTTTGTGAGATATTCAAATGTATCCCCGCTTAATACTTGAGCTACTTGTATAAAGCAACTTTTTACAAAATAGCAACCACTTTTTCATAAATACAATCCCCACAGGCCTTTCTAACCTTAAGCTTTGTAATTTGAGGGTTATGAAGTGCGCACACACACACACACACACATATAGGAAAACATTTATATAGGCAATCAATCTTATACTATTAAAGTAAGGAGGACCTCAAAAACCCAACAGATAATTTTCTTCAGATGCTGGAAAATCTCCAATAGATTATCTTGACCTCGAAGTGTATGGATAAGGGGAAAAAACAAAAAAAGAATTTCAAGTCCTACAAATGGTGCAACACATTATTTGGATTGTCCATTTTCAAAATTTTCAAGTGTTTATATATCTGCACCATTTTGGAGCTTTGAATTTCACAATTAAAAGTGAAAATAGATTTTCAGGCTATCGCAAGGGCTTCCAGAACTGAAACTGCGTCTTCAAGCAGGGTTTGTAGGTGCGCCTTACTTTGATTGTTTAAGGTTGACACCTTATAAAAGCTGCACCCATATGTGCGTGTGTGTGTGTGTGTGTTAAGGGTTCAGATTTTATGTTTCTTTTTATGGGCATTAATTGGTATGAGAGCCATGTTAGGGCTCTTCAATCGTTTCAGCTTTGTAATTTCCCGTTTTAGGGGGTTTACTTAGGGCATCTCCATTACGGTCGATGAGAAGCAAAACTTTTGTCCCTTTCTCCTCATCTTCTAGCTGTCATTGAGGATGGGACCAGAAAGAGTTCGCGAGACCAACTCATCCTGGCAGGGTGCTCTAGAAAAGAGCCCCTCCAAGAAGTGGCTTTTTGGAAATTAAATCGAGAAAGACCCTGGCAAAATGAAAACCATTGTCTAAACCCCAAGGGCTTATTTCAAGCCTCCGGATTCAAATCCATTGATAACGTAGAGGAAGTAGTGTCTGAGGTATCTGAAAACTCGGAGAGTCCTTATCGAACTAATTGTTGATACCAGAAAGGTAAGAAAATTCATGGAGAAGGGCATAAGATTCATCTATATCGGGAGATTGGAAGTAGTAGTTAACCCTTAACCAGGGAAAACCTAAACATTTCTGAACTTGTCAATGCTCAACAGCTAGCATACCCATTTTGATGCAGCCTTAATTGGAGCAATCAAAGCCTCTCCAGCCAAGGCAAGATTCATCTCTTTATATCCTCGAACTTTACCATCTCATTGACAAACCAACACCTAAACCAGGTCCTGAGGCTCAAACAACAGGGCTTTGATGGCTCTGATTACCATCACTTGGAAAATTAGATACTGAGCCATAAACACATATACACCTACACCTACACCTACACCAAGGACAATTGTCTGATTTGAGGGGATATATATGGAGGAAGATATTGAGGGTCAGATAATGATCCCTCAAAGAATAAATCCTTCTAAGGTCAGTATTCCTTGGGCATGGACTCTCGAGCATCAATCTACAAAGGTCCTTGAGCCTCCCCGAGCGAGTATCAGCTCCAGCAGGCCAGGTCAGATCTCCATTGACTTTGGCGAGAGTAAGAGGGCCCCAGCCTCCTCCTATTCTCCAAAGAAAAGTTGCAACATGATAAGTCGACGCGGGCCATACTCTCTTGCATCTTCGGTACCTTCCCATGTCATGGCCGCTCTTCGTGAGCATTACCTTTAGGATCCCCGAAAACAACGGTGGCTAAAAGAGTACATTCAGTCCCAAAGAGTAGAACTTTGAGAGTGATGGATCAAAGATCTCAAAATGGGACAAGAGGTTATCCTCCTAGACTTCGTTATGGAAGACTAATAGTCCATAACTCCTTTGCCACTTCTGAGGAAGTGGATTGACTGCGGAAGATTATTTAAACGATACTCGCAGAAGACTTTGGCTCAGCCAATTCAAAGAATATGAAAGGTCGAGGCTGAGAAGCGTTTGGATCAATGCCAATGAAGCATGAGATGACTCATCACTCATAGACCATCTTCGGAAAGCATATAGCAGCAGCAAGAAGGTCCAACTTGACTTCGGCATGTGGAGAAGAACTTGAAGTCTCCTCTTTTCCACCATTTGAACCCCTATGGCTAGAGGGAATGAAAAGCAGGTTGCTGTCCCGATGTTCCGGTCTGAAGCCCACTCAAGCCAAACCCTCCTTCATTAACAGTTGAATTGGACCAACACCGCACTGCATGCCATTAACCTTAAGTATTGGAGAGGATCTGGGGGACCAAGTCGAGAAGCTAGTCTATTTGGTCGACAACTTCCTAATGACTCATGCCTAAGTCTCTCCCAAGCCCAAGATGGCCCAAAAGATGCAAAATTCGTTCTCGTCTGAGCCTCAGACAGCATAAGGCAACATATCTCCACAAACTTCAGCCTTTCTGCATGCAAAGACAGGGACTAGATCCCCCAAGATTGAAGAAGGAACCAGTATAACTGCAGACAGAAAATTCAAGGGTAACTATGAGATAATTACCAGAAAACACTTTTATGCCTCCATACGAATGGGAACCATGCACTGAGGATAATCTGATTATGAGACTACCAAACTCTTTTCAGAAGAGTCTGACCCAGATGATGGTAGCAGCTATTTTTCCAGGTTCCAGAGCAGTTGCTTCAATGGGTGCCAACGATTCATTCAAGCTCTCCAGAGGAAACCAGCCAAAGTCAGGCGCATGCCCTGACTTACAAAGTCCCCCATTCTAAGCCCAGGGGCTTCATCAGTAGATGGCCAAAGCTCGGAGCAAATAACCAAAATGCTAAGTCTAATGGTTGCAAACACTAATGCTAGTCTCAAATTGGGACATTCTATATGATAGCCCAAGGTTTCATAGGAAACCCTCGATGTTGGTGGTATCAGTTTGACAAACGTGGTGAGGAGGAGATAAAAGCCTTGGTGAGAGTGGAAGTGGACAGGACCATCGAAAGAGATGCATTCGGTAGCAAATTCCCAATCCTATTAAAAAAAATTCTAGAAAGCACTCAAAGATACATCTAGAAGTGGGTTAATACTAATGGGTCGAGCAAAGTGACTATCAAGGCACTCCACAAGCTAGAAACCGTGACCCAAAACTATCTTCTCAAACCAACACAACAAGAACCATGACCCATAGTCATGCGCAAGGGCTCATGATTGGCCTATTAAAGCTCGCCAATAAATAGTAGAATCACGATTCCAATATGTGGATTATAGGTTCCCCCTTAAGAGCAAGTCAGATGCACGTATCACTATAGTGCAAGGGGACCTCTCTCTATACACATGTACATGTATCCCTCTGCAGAGATGCTTCTTAGTATGCAACCGTCATACGTAAATGTCGTGCAGAGGTCTGTTGAGGATATTGGCCCTCTCTCTTACAGATCTACAACCACACACAAGAAACCACGAAGTTATCCTGGCTTAAAAACCATTCTTTTGGCATCTTTCTGACCTCAACAAGGGATGACCCTGTAAGAATCCTCAACGGTAGTGCCTATGCCTAAGGGAAAGAGTTTTGGACATGACCCGAGCCACAAACAGCCTAACCCTACTCCCATTGAAGTGTACAATTCCCTATATTTATTATATTTACATGCTCTCACGGGCTTTAAAAGCCACAACCACTTGGCCTTTGAAGGTTGTACAATCACTTTGTCTCACTCTCTTTCAAGGCCATCTCATGTACATGCTTGGCAAACACATTTACCACACTAACGCTTTGGTCAAAGGATCTACCAACATGGCCTCTGTCGGGAGATAAGCGAACTCGATCTCTCCTGCTTGGATCTCGTTGCGTATGTAATAGTCTGCCTTTATATGCCTGGTTTTTTACGAAGTTGTGGCTCCTTAGCCATACAAATCGCAGCCAGGTTGTAGCAGAAGATCCTCACACACAGGGACTTTACTGGATCAAATCTATGCTGATTTAGGAACTTCTTCAACCAGAGGGCTTTTTTTGTCGCGAGACAACAAGCCACATACTCTAAGTCTCTAACCCCAAAGTAGAGAACACAACGACATTTTGTTTCCTTGAGCACCAAGAAACGGCTACACTGGCAAGTGTGAAGATATATTCGATGTGGACTTCATTTCATCTAGATCTCCCTAGGAATCCACATCTGAATATCCCTATATCTGAATATCTGAGCCTCCTTCGTAAGTGAGGATGAGATTAACAGTTCCCTTCAAATATGACATAACTCTTTTATTGCCTTCTAGAGCTCCATGCCCAGATTACCCTAGAACGTGCTAATCATACATAAAACAAATGATAAGTTTGGTCTCATCCCCAACATAGAGCACTTTTGTAAGGGATTCTCTGCAATGGCTTCTTTTTCTTCTGTACTCATGGGACATATGGCTAGGCTTAACTTGGTCTTCTTATCAACATGGGTATGGACCTCCAATTTTCCATCTCAAATCTTACTCTTTTTCTTCTTTTTTTTTGCAATATGTCTCATGAGATAATTGAATGGTTCTCTCTTCTATTGCTCATAAGCTTAATTCCTAGCACATATGAAGCCTCTCCAAGAGCTTTCATATCAAAGTGTTGTGAGAAGAAAGCTTTTGCTTTCAAAACGAGTCATTGAACTACTGGCAATTAGCATCCACACACAGGGAGATGAACACATCACTCCAATTCACGTTGACATATATACAATAATCCTCCTTGTTAGGCAAAAACCAGCTTTTGGCAAGGTCTCTTGAATTTTATGTACCACCCCCTCGATGCTTGTTTTAGGCCGCAAAGGGATTTCTTAAAGTTTACATAGTAGTTTTTCCTTTCCCTTCTCTATGCAGCCATCTAACCACCTATGCAC